CTCCTCCTCCTCCTCCTCCTCCTCCTCCTCCCCCTCATTTTTGCAGTACTATAATTTGAACTCAGGTCCATGAGCTTGCTAGCCAGGCACTTCATCAATTGAAGTTTAGGTATTTCTGCTTTTAGAGTTCCCTTCCCTTCTCTTCCCTTCCCTTCCCTTCCCCTTCCCCTTCCCCTTCCCCTTCCCCTTCCCTTCCCTTTTCCTTCCTGTCTGTCTGTCTTTCTTTCTTTCTCTTTCATTCTTTCTTTTTTTTTCAAATAAGACTCTCATTATATGCCAGGTCTGTCCTATATAGTGATCCTTCTATTGAAGTCAAGGTACAGTCATTAAATAGGATGACAGGTATAATACGATGTCCATCCCACCAGCATAACAGCTTACTGGTTGTAATGGAGTCTTTCTAATTCTTTGCTTAGGCTAGTCTTGAATGTCTCCTCATTTCTGCCACTTAGGTAGTGGTGCTTAATGAGCAATAAAGCTAAAACTTCATAGCTGTCTTCAGTCATTCTGAAATTTACTTGTGATTGAGGTATTATAAGGCATAGCTAATTTGAATTGTTATCTGAATGCTTATCCTTTTATTAGTGTACAATCTATTCCTTTCCCAAATGATTTAATGATATCTATGTGATATGTCAACTTTCTACATGTTTTAACATGTTAGCAAAGTCTAAAACTTTGTATTGTTGTGTTTTCAATACAACTCATATCCCTTGAGCTTTTCATCATTGCTCCTTAAGGAATTACCTTGGCAGCTTGTTGGTACTTCTCTTTCAAAAGAATTTTGAAATCAATTCATAAAGTTCTAAACACAAAATACACGTTGGAGTTCTTGTTGGAATTTGTCTTCATTTGTATGTTGATTTGGAAAGAACTACCAAATTGATTAGTTGAGACTCAGATAAGACTATCACTAATTCTGTTTGTTCTGAACATATTTGAATAAATATTTTCTATTCAGATAAATATTTTCTATTGTCATGCACATTACAAAAAGAAAAAAAACCTTAGTTTTATTCCTATAAAACCTATACTTTTTTCATTTCTTTTCTGTCTTTATACCTTTTTTTTTCTTGAATTATTGTATTAAATGGTATCCTTTAGTGTAGTGATAAAAAACACAAATAAGGATCATTCTGACTTTAGAACCAGTGCTTTAGTCTGGCAGTGGTGGTTCATGACTATAATCCTTGTACTCTTAAACTGTTGTAGGACAATCATGAGTTCAAGGTCAGCCTGCATTATTACATAACTGAGACTGTCTTAAAGCAAACACAGTAACAAAAGAAAAGCTTAGCCATTGTTTACTTCAGGTTTTAGATAGATTTCTTGTTTAAAGCCAACCTTTTTCTGTTTCCTACTCTTACCTTCCTACAGAGAACCAATAAAATGCATATCTCAACTTCACATTCTGCAGCTGACAGAATTCTAGGTGCCATATGAGTATTTTTATAAAGTATTTTAGTTACATGGTTGAATTACTTCTAGGAATCACTGAGCACTGGTGTTTTCATGCATATAGCTAAATCTGTATGTATTTTACAAAAAATTATAGAAGATAAAAAAAATAAAGGTTACAATTAGCAATAAAGGTTACAAGGTACCACTAAGTACATTTTTGAAGGAAAATTAAACACCCTTTGCATTGTTGACTATTACTTGTTACTAAAGGGTTGAATTATTTTTCCTTATGTGCTTTTCAGAGTTGCAAATGATTTTGAGTATGCCATACATAGAAATGGATGTTATATGTGTAATTAAGGAATGCAATTTTATACTTCATTTTGCCACTGTAAACTGTTGGTTATTGAAAACATACTTAAAGAGCCCACAACATATAATTTTACATATTTTAAATTTGTTGATTTAAATAAAATTTTTCATTTTAAAACCTGAAATTTTGTAGATTAAAGTATCACAATATTTAATTGACTAAGGTTATAGTTAGTAATTAGTTTATGACCAAAGACATAAAAATATGAAGAAAATGTTAAGAAAATTATTCAAAATTATTTGAGACAAATCAAGAACAAATGTAAGAACTTCTGGAGTTACTTAGTTTTTGTTCATAATTTCTTTGAAATATAACACAATGAAGTTTTGTAAATAAACTGTGGTTTAATTTAAAACCATCCCTTTTCATCTGCCTTTATCCTTTCTCTCCTATAGTTCTGGAAGTTGCAGTTCTCAGTACAGAAGGGCAGGTCCAAGACTTTAAATTTCCTCTGGGCATCAAGGGAGCAGGCAGTTCAATCCAACTGTCTGCAAATACTGTCAAACAGAACAGCAGGAATGGTAAGATGGAACAGCTTTGTAAAAATTGGCCCTTCCTTCTTATTTCCCTCCCCCTTCCCTTTGCTTTCCCTTATTCTAATCAGCTGAATATTTGACCCTGACTTTAACAAAAATGACTTAGCATTAAAATAAGGCCTACTCTTTCCCAATAAACTTAATCTAAATAAAAATTCCATGAGGACTTTCTTCCCCCATTATATGTCTTATTTTATTCATAAGTGTATTTCCTGTGAATCATATGACTATTTTTGCATTTCTAGGGCTTGCAAAGTTGGTGTTCATCATATACCGTAGTTTGGGACAGTTCCTTAGCACAGAAAATGCAACTATAAAATTGGGTGCTGACTTCATCGGTCGTAACAGCACCATTGCAGTGAATTCTCATGTCATTTCGGTTTCCATCAATAAAGAGTCCAGCCGAGTATACCTTACTGATCCTGTGCTTTTTACTCTGCCACATATTGATGTAAGTTAATGTATGCTAATGAAGTTGTGGAAGGTTATAAACCCAGTGAGGAAGGAAAACAAAATGACATGCTGTGATGCAAAGAAGGACAGTGAAAAGAAGGAAGGGAGAAAAGACCTTACCATTTGAATTTTAAGTGTTGGGCTAGGTCAGAGACACAAGTTTATTTAAGTCTGTGAACATAAAATTAAATGAGCCTGGTTCAGTGATTATTAGAACTTTAAGTGTATTCTTAATGAAAGCTAATTCAGTAATCAACAGGAAAATGTAAATGACTCTAATTTGTTTTCAAATGAAAATTAACTCCTACCTTAGCTGCAGGATAGCTGAATATTAACTCTTAAGACTCTAAATTTTTAGAATAAAAAATTATTCTAATTAACTGTTCTGATTACATTGTGCACAGTGGTTCTCGGGTATTGTGTTTTAAAAAAATACAGAATTACAGAAATGGAATTCCTATGCTGTGTCAACTTAAATAACCAAGATTTCCAGAGTTGACAAAAATAAATTTATGAAGTTAGTCTTTGTTTTGTCTCTACTTCATTGAGTTTATTTATGAGAACCTTGATCTAGTAACTATGTTTTGTTCAAAGGACTGCTATTGTGTCACTGAGAAATAAACATAATAATGGATCCATTGAAAATGGATTTTTTTTAAGACATTTGGTTCCTATAGCATTTTCTCAGAACAAATTTATGGCTCTGGTCAGAAAAGAAAAAGAAAAAAGATTGTAAAGTACATCAATATGTAAAATCATAGGATGGAAATTATAATTGTAACAAAGAGTTTTTGGTAATTTAAAATACACTTTAAAGTGTTTCAGGCTACCAAGCCCCTTTTATGTGAGATATTTGCCTTATATAACAAGAGTCTACCATTTTGCTAATGAAAAACTTTATAGTCTGAAACACGCGAAGTTTAATCTAAATTACCTTTTACACATATTAGACAATTGCTGTTGCTATCTTAGAATGTAAAATCCTAATTTTATCATGTCATTTTATTTCCCAGCCTGACAATTATTTCAATGCAAACTGTTCCTTCTGGAACTACTCAGAGAGAACTATGATGGGATACTGGTCTACTCAGGGCTGCAAGCTGGTTGACACTAATAAAACGCGTACAACATGCGCATGCAGCCATCTAACCAATTTTGCCATCCTCATGGCCCATAGGGAAATTGCAGTAAGTATTTTTGCACTTCTAATTAGTAGCAGAGCAAAACCTGAGAGAATCAAAACAGCTTGTATAATAGTCTGTCTTTGGGTACTTATCAAAACTAAAAGGGAAACAAAGTAATGTGGATTTCTGATTGTTTGTATACTGTCCATATGTTTCAAGAAGTCTTGGCACTATGCGATTGTTTCTACAGGCTCACATGTTGGTTGACATACTTATCCTAACATTTCTTGCTTTGGCTAGGGATTTCTTAGAGGTAATGAAGGATGTATAAAATGAACAGCAGTAGGTCATACAAAAGAGACAAAGACTATAAAGTTTAGTGTGCCCTCTACATCTCAAGTGTTGGAATCTTATTTTACACTTCAAGTTTCCTAAATATTTTGTACACATTATATAGGGCTGTAGATTTTGAAAAGCTGGATTGGCTTCTGTCTTACTTATATTTATTCTTAAAATTAAGAGAAAAGAAAGGATAAAATGTATTTTATGAAATGTAGAATGGGACTGGGATATAACTCAGTGATAAGGAGCATGGGGGAGGCAATTGGGTCAATCTCCAGAAGTGTGAAAGTATTTATCTACCTATCACGCACCTACCTATGTACTTAGCTGCATACCTGTCTATATATCTACTTACATATCTATATTAGTAACATAATATTTATGTACAAGTAACATATATGTTGTGAAATCTCTGTTTTATTGCTTTCTTGTCTCTTAGTAGGTAAGCACATAGAAACCCAACAAGCAAATTAAATATAAATATTGCTCTATAGATTACCCTGAAAAATCATTAAAATATCAATTATTTAAAATTAAAACTTAACTATTCTCTTATGTAAATGTATTTATGTATTCCATATTTATTTCAATCATTACTTTAAAATATTTGTGCACTTGCATTGTTATCTAGATAAAAAAGTCTTTCCTGAGTCATATAATTATTCTTCTTCCTCCTCCTCTCCTCTTCCTCTTCCTCTTCTTCTTGTGAGTCTTGGGCTTAAATTCGGGTACTGTTTGTGAGCTTTTGTAATGCTCAAAGTTAGCACTCTACCACTTGAGCCACAGCTCTACTTCCAGTTTTTTGATGATTAATTTTAGATAAGAGCCTCATAGACTTTCTTGGCCAGCCAGGCTTTGAACCATGATCCTTAGATCTCAGCCTCCTGAGTTGCTAGGATTACAGGCTTAAGCCACCAGCTCTTGGGTCATTGTTTATATAGTAAAGTTAATAAGATAGTCTTGAACTTTATTATATGGTTTAAAATTCTTTTAGTAATGAACTTTGTTTGAATACACATGGATTTTATCCATCAGAGAGTAGAGTAGTAAACGATGAGCCTGAAATGAAGACAAATTTCTCTCTGCTGTAATGAATGAATCCTGACTCTTGTCACATCTTTGTTTTTCAGTATAAAGACAGAGTTCATGAATTGCTTCTCACAGTCATCAGTTGGGTGGGAATTGTCGTTTCCCTCGTTTGCCTGGCTATCTGCATCTTTACCTTCTGTTTTTTCCGTGGTCTACAAAGTGATCGTAATACAATTCATAAGAACCTTTGTATCAACCTTTTTATTGCTGAATTTATTTTTCTAGTAGGCATTGATAAGGCAAAATACACGGTAAGTAACTTTTGAGTGCAGTTACCTTAGACTTACGCTAATTTTAACAATTGTGAAAGTACCTAACATGTTGCTTTTAATATTTGACCTTATTAGTTGATGTAATTGACAAGCCAATATTGAAGGTTAATTTATAATAATTTTAAAACTCAATCATTAAGTAGTGTTAATTCATTTGTGTATTAAAGTGCAAATGAAGTTTTCTTACTGTTATTTAGATATAATTTGAATACAAGAATGTGGGGATACTGAAATAACAAGATATTATTTTTTTAATTCCTATTTTGTTTACATACTCATTCTTACCAGTGAGCTTTTCTTCATATTTAGAGTAATTTATGCAGCATCTTGAGGTCTTGAGTCAAAAACAGAAGTTAATTAGCTAATAACTCACTGTGTTGCAATCTCTGTATTGGAATGACTGTAAGAATGTTCCTGTATGATAAGAAAATTCTACATAATTAGAACCATGATATTATTGTAAAAGTTTTGAAATTCAGTTACAAGAAAGCATGATATATTTTCAAACAATTATTCTAAAGACTTGAAGCAAATCAATGACAGATGGAATATTTAGAATTCATAATGGATCATGTGAGAAGAGAGAGATGTGTTTTCTTATTTGATATTTAATTTCGCTAAAATTTCAGCAGTGCCTTAGTGATGAAACACTTGGCATTCTACTTCAAGTAATGTTTTTTTTTTTTAACTTGTTTCCTTTTATGAGAAAACTTGGTTTGAAGAAACAATAGTTTAAATAATGACGTATTGTAAAACAGTAATGATTTCAGTCAGTATTTTAAGGCTTTGGAATCAGTTATTTGTATTCATGAGTTTCCTTTGATGTTTTGTTCTTTCCCTTTACAGATTGCATGCCCAATATTTGCAGGACTTCTACACTTTTTCTTTTTGGCGGCTTTTGCTTGGATGTGCCTAGAAGGAGTGCAGCTCTATTTAATGTTAGTTGAGGTTTTTGAAAGTGAATATTCAAGGAAGAAGTATTACTACGTTGCCGGCTACTTGTTTCCTGCCACAGTGGTTGGAGTTTCAGCTGCTATTGACTATAAGAGCTATGGAACAGAAAAGGTGTAAGTAATTGCAAGTGACCTGAGTGTTTTTCAAGTGAATAATTTTTTAAAGCCTGTTAGCTGTCAGTGAGGGTCCCTGACAGATTAAAATAGCATCTGAAAGCTTTATTGGTAAGAGAATAGGCATGCCGTGCACAAATTACAATCAAGTCTTTTGTAATTTTCTAGGTTCACAGCATTTGTACTTTGGTGAGGCAGATTCTAAATTATGGACTTTCTTTCTTAACACAAAAGATTGACCTGAAGCAAATTGAAAAAGTAAATAACTTTTTGGTGTTAGAAAGATATTAAGTAAAATATTCTTCTGAACTTAAAGCATCTGACAAGTTAACTACTCAGTTTTAAACTAATGCTTCATTAGCTCCTGTGTAGCCGACCCTGTAGCTAGCTCTCATTGTACGTTGTGACAGTGGTATATTCTAAACCATACATTTTACTTTGATAAAATTTTACGGGGCAGTTTGAAAGGATTAAAATAACTCCCTGTCTTTTATTTATAAAGATATATTTACCTAAAGTGACAGAAAGGAGTTGCTAAATAAAGATTGTATTTGCTTGGTGGCATGAATTTGCCTACAAGTTGTTTTTATTTTTTTCTTTGAAAAAATTAGTTATACAAAGATGTCTTTTTTGAGTAAAGAAGCCTTTTAGCTGTACAGATGATAAAAGATAAGTAGCAGAAATTGAGCAGTGATTCGGTTATATGAAAAATCAACTACTAAGTAATATTTGTCTTAATAAGCTTAAGCATCATTTACTATAAAACTGTATGAGTTCTGTGTTTTGATTTTCTTTTTCCCTGGTATTCATCCACTCTTAATAGAGGTATTATATTTTTGTTATTCTGTTCTGCAGCAAACATCTGAATGACTTTCATAGGGTTTCACACTTTGGGTAGATGTGAATGAAAAGTTTTGAAGATCACATGTAGAATTTTAAGATGATGAAACAAGTTGAATATTAAGTTGCACATATTTCTGAATTAAAGCAAGAAGTCTTAGTGGTGGGGCAGGATTTATTATTTCTCCTTATAAGCAGAATTTTGTTTTTATCTAGTAGATGTGAAATGAAAAGTTGCAGATTAAAGTAATGAATCACTATCCTTCTTTAAGTCAAAGCTAATTCAGAATTATTAGAATTGTTCTTGCCCAAGATAAGGGACTTTCAAAGCTATTGAGAGGTAGTTTTGTTTGTTAGGTTTCTGACATCCTGATTGCTGTGTAATAGATATTCTTGCCTTTTCATAACAGTTGCTGGCTTCGTGTGGACAACTATTTTATATGGAGTTTCATTGGACCTGTTACTTTCATTATTCTGGTAAGTACACTCTTATTAGCTTTCCTTCCTTCTTAGCTGCTACTCTAGCAGTGTTATTCAAACAAGAGTGATTTGGTTTATTCCTAATTATTTATGCATTCAGCCATTTATAAACATGTCTTGTTATGGGGAAATACTACGTACCAAGTTTTAAAAATACCGTCATTGAGAGTTTATATACTTTCTAATTAAATATTTTTGAAAATTACCTCTCTACAAATACCATTTCCTATCCCTAATATAAAAAACATATTTACTTATAAACCCTGTTATAAACTCAGTGAGTATTTTAGCAAAGTAAAAATTACCTTAATTTTTATCTTAATTACCATACAGCAATTTAGTACATTTACATAACTGTCTGCACCCTAAATTATTTTAGGGCATACATGTTTTCAGAGGTTACATTAAAATAGTTAATAACAAACAAATTTTAAGTTCATATAAATTATGTTTCTGGAGTTTATAAAAATATCAAGTAAAGGTGGATTTTTAAGAAAATGTACCTTTAGGTGAATTTGCTGTTGAGATTAGGTATTTTTACCTTCTTAATTAAAGTTAGGATCAAACATAGTTGAAATAAAAGAATTTTAGTTTTTAAACTTTCAGGTTTTTTTTTTCAATTTTATAACTTTGAAAAGGAAACAAACAAGTTTAACTGCTACCTAAAAATAATTATTTTAAATACTAATTTACCAGTTTTATGGTTTTTAACATTTTTAAAAAATGAAGATACTTAAGTTTGGGGCTATTTTCTATTAACTAATGTTTCATCAGATTGATCAAAATTTTTTAGTTGAAGGAAACTTAAAACACATGCATTTTAGTTGTCATTAAAATTACTTTACACTATTATTTTTACAAGGCCAAATGAAAATTTAAGATGACTGCTATATGAACCAAACTGCTAAGTTATTCTCAAGTGTTCTTAGAGAAGCTGAAGTCCTATCAAAATTACTCAGTCTGATGATGGATCCAGTTTTTTCTTCTTAGTTTATGTATGTTAACACAGCTTGAACCTATCTAGAATTCAGTGACGAGATGATCTTTGAAGACAGAAGTTCTCCCTCCCCCACTCCCACCCCTTAGCTATTTGACCAAAACACATTTTTACTTTGAAAATACAAAGATAAATAGCTTTAGGGATGTTTTCTCTATATAGTAATATCATATATTTACTTCTGGTGTATTGAAGCTTACCTTTCTAAAAGTAAGTACTGACTTTAGAGAATTTTTTTTTAAAATCACTTGAGAAAGGAATTTTATTATGTACTTAGCTTTGAGTGGAAAAGAAATAAAGGACTTCTTATTGTTTTGCCCACTTAAAATGAGAGCCATTATTGTTTACTCATATCTACTCCTATCATGGTTATTATCCTATACTAAGTCTTTAAGGTTGAAAGACTTTTTAATGACATTGTTCCCAACTTAAACAAGTGAAGCAGCAGGTACCTCACAGTGCAGATCTCCTTGGAGTCCTGCAACTGCTTTTTCCTCTAATCATCCTAACAATGCAAGAGTCAGGGTAGTTACAGGAGTGCAAAGGAATACCTTGCAAAATGTCTTCTTTGCGTTGAGAAAAGGTGATTGTACAATATAGGTTTGCTAAAAACACATTTGCCAAAGTATATTCCCTAGTGACACAGGCCCTTTAAAATCTATCCCAGATACTAATATTAATAATATAAACTATACTGTATGCTTTTAAAAATATTCATAAAACAAAGATACCTATTCCTTTTCCTAGAAAATAGTTTTTATATTTCTGACTTTTAAGACTTAAACCATTTATTTAGTTGCATTAAGTAGATGTGCAATTTTAATAGTAATGTTCTATGAAAAAAAGTAATATGCTAAGTAAGATAAAACTTCCTCCTGCATTTCTATAGAATGTCTTGCCTACAGGCACTAGAGTTATTATATCTATGAGAAAAGTGCTGGTAAGTAATGAGCAGTGGGAAACCATTAGTATGCCTGAAATGGTTTAATGAAAGCTTGGATCATGACACGTCAGGAGCTGTTCTTATCATTTGGACAGCTCCATCTGCATCATTAATAATGAATTCAGTTCAGTAAGAGTTCAGCCACACACTCATTTAGAAGTCTTCTTCAGAGAACACCTCTCTGGCTGCTGGTCCCGGAGAGAAATAGGTTTCTGCTTGGCTAACAGCAAAGATCTGGAGATACAAGTACAGCTTTAGAGTTGCATTTGCCAGGTAGCAAAAGCTCCAGGGAGGACAAAAAGGGTCAGAACATATGCAGTTCAGCTAGGTTACTTCTGAGTGGTGTTTCTGTTCTTCTGTCTTATCATATCCATGTCAGCACTGCAAGCTGTGGAATGAATTTTAAGCTGCTAAGCTCAGACAGATGTGATTCAATTGAGCAGGTTGATGACCATAAAACAAACTGTGTACTTCTATCATCCTTGGCACCTGAAAAAATTTACAATAAAAATATTCTCTGAATTATCATGCTTAATAATATGGGTAGTGTTTAGCTCTATGGCATTGGCTTTCATCCACCAATTATTATTTTTAATAGCATTTGTGCAATTTTTATTTGGGCATCATTAAAAGAGTTAGTGAAAAAGAAGGAATTTTCCCTGTGGTGATTTTTACTGTTTTCAGTTGTGGATAGGACTTTTTTTCCCTCTTCTGGACTCATAGAGTTCTACTGAGAGAGAAATACTTGCTTATACCTCTCACTTTCACATGTACAAATGAACACACAGAGCAGAGTTAATATATTATTTCATTCCTGAATGAAGTGCTGCATTTTCAAATTAATCAACAGCTTGGGCATAAAAGGTGATTATTTGACTTTCATACCTAACACAATCCTAATAACCTATATTTACTGGTAACCTCTCCCTAAGTAATTGAGCAAGTATACATACTTACCAGGTTTAAGAATATCTTTATTCATAGAACTGTAGTTCTGCCTTTTTCCTATTTCATTGATGTTTAGTTTTCATGCTGTTCCCAAAATATTATGTTTGTGGGCAGGATATTTACCAAAACAAAACGGAACAATGGGGCAAAAATATGGCTTCACTGCAATGTAGTTCAAGCAGCAGCAATTGGAAATATTTTGTCCTTAACTACCAACCTTCCAAGGAGAAATCAGGAAAATTTTTTGTTAGTTGTGATTTTTAAATACATCCTAAAGTCAAAAATAAACCGTGGAAGGAGTCAAAATTATCCAGAAAAAAAAGAAACACAAAGTATATATCTGAAAATAGCTATATATGTCATGAAAGAAATGGCAGGGGGCTGGGAAGGTGGCTCAGTGGTAGAGTGCTTGCCTTGCATGCATGAAGCCGTGGGTTCGATTCTTCAGCACCACATAAGCAGAAAAAAGCCAGAAGTAGTGTTGTGACTCAAGTGTTAGGGTGCTAGCCTTGAGCTAAAGAGCTGAGGGACAACGCCCAGGTCCAGAGTTCAAGCCCCATGACCAACCATAAAAAATGCCAGGAAAAAGGAGAACTCTAATGTTCAAATACTAGTTGATTTAAAAACATACTTCTTGTCGTTTATGTTAAAGTATCCAACTTAGACTAGATTCTGTCAAATACGTATTTAATTTCTAGCTATCTCTAGTTTTGAGCTTCACAGTTGTGTTTCAAAAGAGCAAGAAAGCAGTAAAAGGAGAAAGTAAACTGGAAATCTTACTAAAATATTCTATCCTACAAAACCATAATTCTTATCACAGAGTGTATTATGTCCTGAAATAGATCATAGCAACCATATTTATTCTAAGATAAATGAGAGAAGTAAACCCATATTTTTCTAACTGGTTATGCCTTCATATGTTTAATTTCAAGCAATTGTAAATAATAAGTATCTATGAAATTTCTTTCTTTCTTTTTCTTTCTTTCTGTTTGTCTTTCTGTCTTTCTTTCTTCTTTTTTTTAGTGAGGTCACAAAACCATATTTAGCACTTCTGTCACCTTATAATTTAGAGCATGATCTGAATTTTTTCCCCATTATTCATTTTGAGATTTTAGCATTTCGTTCTACTGAATGTACTGTTACATTATTTGTATACTTTCCAGTCATAAATTGAGACTACATTTGTTTATGATTTAACCACAAATGTTTGGACAGTATTTCTTTTGCCTGTATTTTTTATCTTCAAGGTTTTTTTTTTTAATTGTGGAATTCATAGATACTTTCAGAATTGAGTGCAGAAATCCTAGGATTTTATTATTATTTTCTAAGTAGTTTTAGTTTTCTTTAAGGAGATTCATTTTAAAGTCTTCCATTTTAATTCTGGCAAAAACTCTCAAAATTTCTATTTTTATATTTGTCCTTGGTTTTCTGAATTTATGTGTAATTTAGCACACGTAACTAATATAAACAGGTTTGGAGAAGACCCACGGAACTATTGTTGACAAGTAGGACATCTTGTGTTGACCAGTTGCTGATGTCTTATTTGCCTTTATTTTCCAAAGGAGACTTAATTAATTAAGTCCATCATGTAGACAGTTATTGAAAAAATATACCAATTGTGTTTGTCAGGATTTCTTTGAGGCAGTATTTTCTAAATTATTATTTATCTTCAATTCATTTATCATCTAGTCATTTTTATATTGGATTATTCTTTACAGCAATGACACTTTTAAACTTACTATAATAGTACATATAGTACTAGTGTATCTTTCTCTGGATTGATTATACTGGTTAATTTTATTTGGAAATCCTGGGCTGTGAAGCTGGATCACAGAATATTAAATCTCAGCAGTGTATGTGGGCAAAATTATTTAGCTCATCTCAGTAATTCATAAATTGGACATAAAAGTGCTGCCTGTTACCTAAGGAGCTAGGATTATAGCTGGCTGGCCACTTTCCCTTAAAATTGTATATATATTTTCTGAGTTTGCAATACATAATTAAAGCATTATTTTCAACTCAGACATGTTTGAAAAAAACACCAGTGATCTAATGTTCTGTTTTTTTAAAACAAATATTGAATAACAACATTTTCTGCAGTACATTTAACTTCCCTAGTATGTAACAAGGAAAAAAACACCATATTTCAATCTTAACTGAATCTACAAAAGTAGATTTCATTTTATTATAGTTTTATTGAGAAAGATTTTCTTTTTCACATAACTGAGTTGGTCATTGAAAACTGTTTCAATGAATTTATTAGACTCAAAACTTTGACTTCCAGATCTATTTTTTAACTAGCATAAATTATATATCTGTAGTTTTCACATTCATTACTTTCCTTGCAATTTTATATATCGTATGTAGTACATTACATACATACTTAATCAGTAACATGTATTTTTTAATATTGGTCACCTATTGCTATTTTGTTCCTGAGGTAATCAGGTAGTAACTAAAATACTTAGAAAGGAATAAAAAACCTTACATCTACAAGTTTTGAATAAATAAGTGCTTTTATCAGGATATTTAAACAGAAAGAAAGATAATTAAGGATTTTCACTGATTTTATAAAGCATGTTATTTTACCTAAGAGTTGAATTTAGTTTATTTTATACTGGTTTTTGGTTTGTTTTATGATATTTACAGAATTCTCTAACAATTAAAAAAATGTTTCTAGTTAATGCTATTGGTACATAAAATATTAAAGTAGTAGTGCTATTGATTTTGCCTTTTTGAAAAATAAGAGGCATGCTTTACTGTGATAATTAAAAAAAAAAACAAACCAGTCATTAGGTTGAAAATGAACTTGTGAGGGAGGCAGGGCGGAAGAGAAAAACTGAGGGAAAACAAGGGAAGAGATGTTTAATATACTGCTCAAAAAATATACTCATTACCTGACTTATGTAACTATAAGCCCTCTATACCTCACTTTTACAATAAAAAATTAAAATTAAAACAAAACTGTCAGTCTTTACTGAATAACACATGAGTCTGAATTTCGCAAAAGCAGAATCGATCTTAAGTATCCACAATTCAGTGAGCACATCATTGTTCAGTGCAGTCAAATCAGTCATATATTTGTTGAGCAAAATGTATCATATTCTTGCATGCAAGAATGGTCTCATTTTAATCATCTGGAATAATCTAAAAGATACAACAAGAAAATAATTCTGTAATTTTTTTCTCTAGAAAAGTTTTCTTTAAAAACAACTTTAAAACAAAAAGCTAGCTAGGCACTAGTGGCTCACGCTGTAATCCTAGCTACTCAGGAGGCTGAGATCTGAGAATTATGGTTCAAAACCAGCCTGGGCAGGAAAGTCCATGAGACTCTTATCTCCAATTAACCACTCAGAAAACCGGAAGTGGCACTGTGACTCAAGTGGTAGAGCACTCACCTTGAGCTGAAGAGCTGCGGGACAGCGCCCAGGCCCAGAGTTCAAGCCCCATGAGCACCCCCCTACCCCCCCCAAAAAAAAAGCTACTTTTGTCCTTAAGTAATTAACGTTGAAGGATAGAATGCCTAACTTGGAAGTTAGGCCCATTAGCCTAATTTTATTTCTTAAGAGAAAATTTTACATCTAAGAGAAATAATAAGGCACAGCAGACAAAAGGATAAAGAGCTTGGATTAAAGCATTTGGTCTGTTCCCAAACACATCATTAGGAAGGACTTGAAAATTTTAATTTATTGCCCTATATAATGTTTTCTAATTATAACATCAGGAGTGGTGATAAATGAATACAGTAATGATATCATTTGATTACGTGCCATTTTCATTCAGTATAAAGGAACATGTTATTGTAACAATGTTATGTTGATTATCAGCCACCAAGAAATTGAAATCCTCCCCACATACAATGGGTCTTTCCTGAAAAGACCATGTGGGCTTGTAAAATCAGTCCTACAAAGCTTTCAATGTAACATTTATTGTCTCTTTTAAAATAATATTCCAAAATATTTTAAGGGCAGGAGCATAAATACAAAATAGCAAGTTTTAGAGCATAATATGAAACAGAAAACAAAGACAAATCACCAATCTCAGTCAAAACATCACAGCCCTCTGGGAATCTTAGACTTTCCCTGTCAAATTCAACTTTCTGGGTTTACATGCAGATATTTTTACACAGCTAAATGTTAGGAAGATTCAAAACCTTGTCAGAATTTACCAGCTACCCTCTATTGAGGCACACAAGTAAAGGACTCCTGGCTTTGACTAATTAAGTAGCAAATACATATACATGATTGAAAGCTTACCTAACTTATAATATTAGTGAACAATTTTCATACAGTTTGTTTAATCAAAATCAAGAGCTTGACTTTCAACTAATCCTAGGGTTATAAAGCTAGTGATTTTTCTATTACAGGTTATAGGATATAAATACCTCTTTTCAGAAACTTCAGTCTTTCCATTTAGATGACTTTTAGGCCCTGGAGTATATCATGTAGCTAAAGAAACTAATTTAGAATTTCTAATTTATTTAATCATTACCACATGATCCTGACTTAATGAGATTGTAATTTCATGTCAAATGATCTATTAAAGAATTGATCATATAGAGCCAACTGTTTTTTTTTAACATGTACATAGACTGAATTGGATCAATGCATACATAAAATAGAATTGAATCAGTTTTTGCCCTTTCCATGTTACTGTCATATAACTGCAATAATTCATTAAATAAATTTTCAAAAATAGGTTTTACTCTTTGTTTTTCGTGGCCTCATCTTTTTCTTTATTTCTTCTAACAGCTAAATATAATTTTCCTGGTGATCACACTCTGCAAAATGGTGAAGCACTCAAACACTTTGAAACCAGATTCTAGCAGGTTGGAAAACATTAAGTAAGTATTTCTTATTTAATTTTAATATTTGACCAGCTAAGTAAAAGTTATCTCCACAGGGAACACAGGCATTTCTGTCTTCTGCCAAATATAGGAATTACTCAGAATTAAATTTTAAGTCTCCGATGTAGACATTGGTCAAAAATTAGGTAATAATTTTTGTCTTGATCATCTAGAATGAAAAAGTTGTTTCAGTGGCTTCATGGAAATTCCCTCTCACTGTAGCATTTTCACTTAAATTTAAAATGTAGTTCAAAGTGAAGTTCCAGTTTGCATGGCTGATAGGATCAACTTAAGTTTATTGTTAAATCACTTTTCTGATTTAAGGATTCCGAGCAGTTTCTCCTCCTACTCTATTTTCCTAAGAGACTTTATTACTACTATTAGCTAGAAGATTATCTGTTGTTTTCATATTAGTTAAGCAAATCTTTATCTCATTGTTGAATAAAAACTAAATATTCTATCTAGAAAAATGCTGTTGCTATTAGCTATATGTTAAGTAGTGAAAAATTGATAGCTATTGATTCATTAAATCATCTTATGGAAGTGTTTTCAGAGTTGTTTTTAAAATATGAGTCTTAGTTTAGAATTCAAGGAGATATTCAAGTTGGTTAAATGGGATTGAAGGAAGTACTATTTTTAATTAAAAAATGGCAGATGGATAGTAAAGGTAAAGTTTTTTTTTAAAAAAGTAGATGTATTCGATAGGTCAGTGCCAGCTTCATTGCATGTTGCATGGTAAAAGAGAGAGCTAATCTTTAGCATCTCTCTCTTTTCTTCCTTTTCCTCTTTCTGTCTTCTCATCTACACCAGTAATTACCGTGTTTGTGATGGCTACTATAATACGGACTTACCTGGGTAAGGTAGAATCCTACATTAACAAATTTATGGCATGATTTATATTTTTACAAACCCGTCAATATCATGAATTGCCCTTAGTTTTTGTAATTATTTTGGGATATCTGATTTGCTATAGTATTTTAAACAATAATATGCCTTTATTTTTTTTAATTGCTTGCCTGTGCATTTTGACTTCTTAATTTTGACTAATTTATAAAATATATAAATGCTTTCTTATTACTTTCTATTTTAATTCTGCCTAATAATTTTGTTTCTCTTTTCTGCTTATAATGCTTTCTAGCTATGAAGATAATAAGCCATTTATCAAGTAAGATCATTAGTTAGACGTGGAATGCACTGACCTTAAATCCTTCTCATTCCGTCCTATTTTCTACAGTTCTTTTCTCCTTAAGCTATTCATGATGAAATCTCCAAAATTATTTCATTTTGAAGTTGTTCTCATGTTTTTATCTCATTTCAGCTAGGCTTCTTCATGCTTTAGTTAAACAACTGTAGGCTCATCTAAGAATAGTTTCCTAGAATCTCAGTTTAGGTACTAAGTGATTATCTGCCATTTAACCTTTCTGTATGTGTCACATTGTTTAGTGCCATATGAGTACATCACAGGAATAAAAATAGAAGTAGACTAATTAAGGCTGCCTTAATTTGCTTTCACCAAAAGATAAAAGTCATGGGGGATATTTTACACCTTGCATTTTGATATAGTTTTGATACCGGTTTATTCTGGAGTAAGAAAAGGTCATACCTGCTGTTGCTGTTTTCACTGGAGGCTGCAGTACTAAATGCTGTTGTTCTTTCTTAATCAGTGAAAGGTTAAAGCCAAAATGCTGTTGAATTTGAATGTGAACGTAGAGAAAGTCAACTGCTACTACTGATATGTTAATATATAAGTGGGATAACTGTTTTTCCCTCATGGAACCTGTTAAAAAGTTCACTTTATTTTTTCAGGTCTTGGGTGCTTGGCGCGTTTGCTCTTCTGTGTCTTCTTGGCCTAACCTGGTCATTTGGGTTGCTTTTTATTAATGAGGAGACTATTGTGATGGCATATCTCTTCACCATCTTTAATGCTTTCCAGGGAGTGTTCATTTTCATCTTTCACTGTGCTCTCCAAAAGAAAGTAAGTAATGGAAACTTTGGTTTGAAAATAATAGATATGTTAGAGAAGACTTAAGTTACAGCTGGCATATTACTAAGTGGCATCATATATTAATCATAAATTATTTTTAAAACCATCTGGAAAGGTAGGCTTTGCATATGAAATTGGACAAAACCTTTCATTTTTAGAAATCTTACTTTGGGAATGTTATAAACTAGATATTCAATGTTAGAATTTCTTCTTTGCTGATAATGCTATAAAATTTCTACACAAGCTATCCAAGGTTTAAGAAAAATTACTTAAATTCAGTCTTTGTTCCAAAATGAACTGAACATAAGGGTAAATGACATTACTGTTTAAAAGCACCAGAAGTTAATACTAATATTGCTTTTTCGAGTAAATTTAGAAGATTTAAAACTTTGTAGTTTACTACCTCACATCTTATTATTTTGTCCTGATTTCAAGTTAAGTAAAGTCAGCCCAAAAAATTGAAATATTAAATTTGAAGAAGACAAAGTTAATATGTAGCAAGATGTAAAACTAAAAGAACCACCTAGGTGCCCTTTAAATTTAAAATTCTTATGCCTTTCATACGGTATCATTCTTTCTATGTCTGTATATCTAATGTATAGTCTTTTTATTCTGTTATTACTAGTTGGTCACTAAATTGAACAGAGAAATAGAATTGTGAAAGTGAAAACTATTATGTTTTCAGTCCTGACAAGATGATAGTGTTGTTACTTCCATCAGTTCTGAATAAGCTATAATTTTGAGATAATGACAGTGGAATGTGCAATACTGACAGATAATGTACATTCACTGCAATATAGACATTAGGCAAAACCAACACCAGAGGGTATTATTTGGATAAAATACCATTTTGATTGCCATTGTCTTGGTTATACAGCATTTCAGAGCAGTTAATAGCCATTAAATGTGTAGAAAAATTTTGTGTGAGGTATCATGTGCTATTTAGTAACAATGAACTTTTAACTTTCTAAACATTACACAGGGAAAACCTGGCTAGTTACTGTATATTTTTGCATATATCTTATGTAAATGTGCATCCTGTATGCAAGCATAGTATTGTATTATTCATAACTACTGGGCTTTTGGGCCAAACACTTCTGATATGAAGTAAAAATTTAACAGAAAAGGGTGAAGTTGTCACTATTTATATAGTTGCATGTATTGATTAAATAAGTTTTTTTTTACTATGCTGTATACATTGACAACCAACATTTTAAGATCATCCTGTCACACTTCTTCTGAGCATGTTCTACTCAGTCTTGGATATATCTTACTATTGGGTGCTGCCAAGATGGATTAAGAATATAACAGAAAATGGTCAAGTTAAAATTATGTTTCCTGCTGCTTGAAAGAGCACATTTAGACCAAGAAAATATTCTGAAAGCTCAACCACATAGTTCTTTGTTCTAATAGGTACAATTAAACTGAAGCCAGGAAGATGACCATGCAAGTGTACTTAGACTTTCAAGATCATCTAGTGACTTTTTTCTTACTTTACAGAGAATGATCCAGGGAATGTCAAAGTCCTGGTGTTTGCAGGCATATAATGTAGAAGTGTGAGAGAGGAAGAGTTTGAGTGTTGAATCTATTAGGAGGACATGGAGGAGTTTCCTTACAGAATTTTCCTTGGTTGTTTTGCAATTTCAAAGCCTACCTCTAATCTACAAATCATTATGATATTCATGTGCTGGTAGCACTGAACACAACACAACATCCCCTCCTCCTCCTCTTAGTTCTATACCACTGCTCATAAAGGGCGTATTTTTTTAACAGTCATTTGGGCTTCCTTTTTTAAGGTCGGTTTAAACTTCCTTTCAACCCTAACTATCTATCTATTCATATACCCAAGCTTCAGGGGAAAAGGGAAATTACATGGGTAGCTCATTAATGAGAATGGAAACTGTGTAAATAGTTCTGTTGTGTGCTAATGAAGTGAATAGTCACCTTAGCTTCTGTACTAAATGTTACAGCTAGACATACTAGTAAATGAGGAAAATAGTCAAATATACCAAAATACTTCTCTCCCCCCTTTTTATTTTGGCCAAAGGATTTCTGTCATTACAATGAGACTACTCACAAAATACATAATCTATTTAAAGATGATTATGTATTTACCTACCTAAAACAAAATTGAAGCATGTGAAACTTAAATGACTGAATTGGGTATATGTAGTCAAACAAGAAAAATACAAAATTTTTTGTCCAATTTTTTTTCCTATACTAAAACCACAAGAGTTACTAAATATATGGGTAGATTAAAACTTTAAATATATTGCTATCATAGTGATAAATAATTACTCTACAACAATTACAGAGCCCAAAATGTGATACCAATTTTTAAAGATCATACTAGCCAGTCAGGACAGAATTCTTTTCTGATTACTATTTTAGCAACTGTTACTTCTTTTCACTATAGATGTGTCTTAGTGGAATTTAAGTCTTCTCAGTTATATTTCCTGTTCCTTTAATTAGAGAGCGAAGGGGAGAAACAAATATGCTCATGGTAATCCCTTGGTCCTCTGATTATTCAATTCAGGTACGAAAAGAATATGGCAAGTGCTTCAGACACTCGTACTGCTGTGGCGGTCTCCCAACTGAGAGCCCCCACAGTTCTGTGAAGGCATCAACCACAAGAACCAGTGCTCGGTATTCCTCCGGCACACAGGTAACAAAAGACTTTGACAGAATCTTTAATTAACCTTATTTATAGAAAGCCTGCTGAGACATGTTCTGTTTAGATGCACTAATTGTTTCCCCATTATAATGATCTAGGTAGAAAATACTAGCTTTTTTTTGCTTGTATTTTTTGTGTTAATTTTCTCTTATATGGGTCCTTGAGGTGTTCCTTAGCTTCAAATAACCTTTTCAAGGAGAGGAGTTCCTTAAGAAGTAAAAAAGTCATATAGATCAGTGTTCATGGTGGGCATATATTAAACATTTGTTGAATAACCAGTCATTTCCACTTTCAAAGAAAGGTGACCAGATTACTCATATTTAAGAGTGGAAGATTAAATACCCATTAATTGTGAAGTGGTAGTATAGTATAGATGTCTAGATTTAGACCAGTAACCACACACATTCTTTACAAAGTCAAGTGACAGTCCTATACATATTGGGTAGGTGGTTGTGTTTTTTAATAAGGTAAGCTTGAGAAAACTAACATAACCTATCTATCTTGCTGTTTTATATTAATAGAGTCGTATAAGGAGGATGTGGAATGACACTGTGAGAAAACAGTCTGAATCTTCTTTTATCTCAGGTGACATCAATAGCACTTCAACACTTAATCAAGGTCAGTTATTAGGAAAATCAATAAAAATATAAAGTTTGTACTTTTTGCTAGCACAGAATAATTCTTAGAAAATGCTGAACTTATCTCTTACACATTTATACCACAGTTGTTTGAATATATTAAGTCATCCTTTCTCATCACTTACTACAGTACATATAAGTTCATATTACCCCATAGTATAATGCAAAAAAAATTTTTTAACAGGATAAAGCACTCTTAACTACAAAAGGAATTATTGAAAACATACCATATCACAGATTAAAATGTTTTTCCTAGTTAATACCTGTTTTCTCTCCTAACTATGCATATATAAATTTTTTTCTTTAAACATCAATGGAACTAGCAAAACTAATATGTAAAACAATGCCATTTTCACCAAAAAGGTGCAAAAGGTATTTAGTACTTTTTAAGATAAATAATGTTAAAACATTTATTGTAAACCTTTATTAACAAAATTTGAGTACCTAGGAACTTTATAAGCTTTACTTTATAATTAACTTTTTCCATATTGTTTGATGTGTCTATAGTGGCAACTTTAATTGGTTATATAAATTATTATAGTTCATAAATTCTGCTGGGCAATGAAATAATCTAGCAAAATTCAGGGCACAAATATGTATGTTATGGATATTCCCGAATCCTTAATAACTAACACTATGAGAAAAGTAAGTTACCCTGTAGAATCTTGGGAAAGATTGTTTATCTGACATTTCTAGTTTCATGGGCCAATTTATGACATAAAGTTAGGGTTCATCACAAAGACTGGTTTAAAATTAAAGAGAATTTATAGCATCAATACCAATCTGAATTTTTAGATATTTTTAATCAAAACATGATCAATAAGAAAAGATTAGTAAGTTACCAGTTAGAATGAGTGAAACGTAATTGTCTCATTGCTTTAATGTTTTTTCTTAATTCTGTGGGAGTGGCTAACAAATGCTAAATGAATTACCCAACTCAATTTTAAAACCTGGCAAATAAGTGGGTAGAGCAAAAGTGTTCTTGTTGTAGACTTTGTTGTGGGCTAATAATTTATGTTATATAGTTTGTTTGTTTTTTTCCCTGAGCATGTACGCTTTTGCATTTACTAAGTGAAGCTTTTAGCAATGTGTCATAATTTTTACATGTTTGTGAAAGTTGTTTTCCTTCTGCTTGTATCAAAGTTGGTATGATCACAGATGTTTTCATAAGGGATAATCCCACACCTGTAAATTTGAAAGTTTGAGATTCCCTCTTCTGGGCCTCAGAGGTTAAGTTTTAATATTAAGCAGTAACATCTTGAAACATAATAATGTTGCTCTCTATGCATTTAATTGCCATTTTTGTTTAACGGTGATTTTGTATAAATTAGTAAATGTCATCCTTGGCAGGTGTTTACTTGGGGGACTTAGAAAGCACCTGTGAATTACTGGAATTTAACTGCCCGCTCCCCTTTCTCTTTCAAATTAGTAGTTCAAATACAGTCAGAAATTTCAGCTGGATTTTCATTGCCAACTTGCCCACTAACCTGATAAAGAAAGGAAAAAAAAATAGAGAGAGAGATTGAAACTGTAATACTAAAATAAGAGAACTGATGTATTTCTTTCTGTTTTTGTTTTTGTTTTGTTTTGTTTTGTTTTGCTTTAGGAATGACTGGCAATTACCTACTAACAAACCCTCTTCTTCGACCCCACGGCACTAACAACCCTTATAACACATTGCTCGCTGAAACAGTTGTATGTAATGCCCCTTCAGCTCCTGTATTTAACTCACCAGGTGTGCTTATACTTACAAAGAAAACTACCTTTCTTTATGCTAAACAGAGCCCTGTTTCTAAAATATTCAAGTTGCCAAAATACTTATTATTACATCCTTAGTTTCTCAGTTAAAAAAAAAATATGGTATTTCCCATGCCAGGCTTCTAAAACTGCACTATATTATAGTACAAACTCAGTCATGACAGTATTTACAATAATTATCCATGTTTTTAACACAGGTGGCATAAATCTTAATATATTATTACAGGACTGACATCACATGGTCCGAGAGCCCATCTTCAAGATTTATATCACTTAGAGGTATCCAATCTATATAATAATATATTGTTCAGTTGACTCGAAAGCTTGCTGACAAAATTTGCTTCTGGAATGAATTAGTTAATAAAGATAATTTGGATGTTAGGTATAGAAAAACACATTCAGTATTATCAATAAAACAGAACTATAGTATAGTGCAGCTTTATGGTAGTTTTTCTTTCTTCCTAAGGAAACTTGAGGTTCAGTTAATTTTAGTCAGTTTGTATCTATTTTTTTAAACTGGGGGAGGGATAGTGATTGTCACTAACCTATTTACTATGTTTTCTAAACGCTTATTAAGAAAACATTTTTAATATTAACAGAATTTTTAAGGTTTTGGTAAAAGATATTATAGTTACTACCATATAATATTTGTGAATGTTATTTGCAACTAAAACTCAGAACTTCGTTTCCTTTTTTTTTTTTCTTAAAATTCTTTTTTAACGTAACTGCAGCTTCTCTTTTCATTCTCTTGTTTTCTTACTTTCCTTATGCTTCCCTCTAGCAACCTACAGAGAGACAAGTATGGGAGTAAAACTTAACTTTGCCTATCAAATGTAAATTTTTTCAGCATGATTTTTAATGGGCACAATTAATACATAACTAGCAGTCATGATGTAGACTCAGCGGGCAAGTGGTTCACAATTTGCAAATAAAATGCTACCAAATTCAAACTCAGTACATGGATCTGTACTGCCTTTGTCAGTAGTAGAGGTCTGTAGCAAATTCTATCCATTCTTAAGTATATGCAATGCTGAAATAATTTGCTCATCAAAACCTGAAATACTGTCAGCCAAAATGCTTTAATAGTTGACTGATCATTTCTACATTCCCACAGTAATCTTGCTACAGGCTGTGGAAAATCTTCAAGTGAATTACCTGAACTTAGGCAGCAAAAAAAAGATGCCTCTTCAAAAAAACAAAGAAGTCTTAAATCTGCAGTATATCATAGAAAACACTTTTTGGATTATGCCTAGTCTATATTATTATATTTAATAAAGACAAAAAGGAAAGTCTGTTTAAGATTGAGTCTCTCTGCAGAGGGAACAAAAGCTAACTTATTCTTAATATGTCTTTTACAACTTAAAATTCCTCAGTGTTTTCTGATGGTACATCTTACCCAGATTGTGGCACACATGAATTTATAAACTGGGAAGTTGTGGCAGAAAAACTAAAGGAAACCTTCCAAGTAATTACCATAGCTTCATTGTGTTGACACATGGAGCATGATACAAATTGAATTGTCAATTTCTCATCTGTAGAAGTTTTGTCAGGGTTTTATAAGAATATAAGTGACAAATTATCCTACTCTCCCACCATATTTTCAAATCTGCTAATGCCAATTTATCCAACACATAATGTTTATTGTTCATGAAGTTTGTGCCAGATGGAGGTTTTTTTTCAACCTAAAATTTGAATTTTCTAGGATATCTGCAGCTTTAAGAGTGGAGTGAGAACTAAAAAAGGGAAATTTCCTATTCTTGTCTGAGAACTAAAGTTTTCCTAAACTCCTCCAAGCCTTGCATAAAATGCAGCAGCCCCACAGTGGTCAGTTTCTCATTTCAAATAACACCATTTCATCCTTTTTTTTTTTTCAATCTTTTTTTGTTTAACAGACCTATTGGTAGACAAGTGATTTTTTTTCCTCTAGGATTTTGAGAATGAATAACTAACTTTCCATCGTGCAGACCATTTAATTTTCTCTCTCTACTTCTTTTAATTTGCCTAACGAGTACTGTGATGTCTAAGTTTACATGTTTATGTGTCTGTAGCAAATACAACTCTGAATCAAGTAGAGCATGTTACCATGTTTTTATTTCCTCCTAAACTTCTTTTCATATCTCAAGCAGATTTATCCAATTTTTCATTCTTTTAGAAATAAAAATGTTAGATTAAGAACTGACACTTTTCTCCCATTCCATAGTTAATATCTATTCTTGATTTAATTTCTGTGACCCATACTTAAGAAATCTCTCACATTTCTGCGTTTGATTTCCATGCCCATGGTATCCTTGGGCTAGTCTTGTACGAGAGACTCTGCTGGTTCATTCAGTACTGTCACTGTGGCTGATGCAGACTGCAGGGCTGCAGGCAGACTTTGACCCTTAGGAGCCTGGGGCCATTGCTATTAGAGAGATTGGTTAGTACCAAACGAGCTCAAAACAATAAGAAATATTAAACGAAAGGGAAAGGCTGCTATTTGCTGGTAATCTAATTTGTTGAACCCTTGCTCTGACTAAGTTGCTGAGAAGCTTAGAAATTCTTCATCATGTTACAATAAATCATTTTACTTTCTTTTATATATCAGCTACTCTTAGGCCAGATAGCCTGAGCAGACAGACATGATGTGAGTTGTCCAAAGTGAGTCATTCCACCTGCTGTCTATCGTGTTGTTGGATGGTGCTTGTTGGGCCCCTGGTCCAGTCAGTATGAAAGATGGCTGTCTCTGTTGAACATGAATTCTTTGTATCTGTCCATTTTTTTTCATTCTTTTTTTTAAAAAATTTCATCTCCAGAAAAAGGAAATGTTAGAATGTTGTTTAAAAGTTGCTTGCCAGTTATGTGGGTTTATGTTGTACATTTACCTTTCGGTTCTGTATGTGACTTATTCTTTTTTAATTTAGTGTTGTTTAGGACAAATTCTGTTAATTTTATTTTTAACAACCATAGTCTTGTACTTTAAAATGTAAATGTCACTAATGAATTGCTTTGCATTACCTATGCAAGGGCATGGAGTGAAGTCTTGTAAGAACATCAAGAGATTTTACCAATCCATTAATAACTGCTGTCTCCTCCAAATTGATAAATATTCCGTATGCTATTTACCTCCCCGGAAAACCGTATTTTTTTTTAACACTTTTTTCTGTTAACCTAAGGGGTTGCAACTGTTTACAGTTGGGAATGCGGGAAAGCCGGGCACTGGTCAAGCGTTAGCTTTCAAATACAACTTTGTCCTGAACGACATTAAAAAAAAAAGTTTTGTACAAAGAGATAAAGTTTCTGTGGAAAGGAACAGCAGCAGTAATGGTAATGCCCCCCCCTTTTCTGTTTCAGGACATTCACTGAACAATGCCAGGGATACAAGTGCCATGGATACTCTACCGCTAAATGGTAATTTTAACAACAGCTACTCACTGCGCAAAGGGGACTATAATGATAGCGTGCAAGTCGTGGACTGTGGACTAAGTCTGAATGATACTGCTTTTGAGAAAATGATCATTTCAGAATTAGTGCACAACAACCTCCGGGGCAGCAGCAAAACTCACAACCTGGAGCTCACGCTGCCCGTGAAAGCCGTAATTGGGGGAAGCAGCAGTGAAGATGATGCGATTGTGGCAGACACATCATCTTTAATGCATGGGGACAACCCAGGGCTGGAGCTCCATCACAAAGAACTCGAGGCACCACTCATTCCTCAGCGGACTCACTCCCTTCTGTACCAACCCCAGAAGAAAGTGAAGGCTGAGGGAACCGACAGCTATGTCTCCCAGCTGACAGCAGAGGCCGAGGATCACCTACAGTCCCCCAACAGAGACTCTCTTTATACAAGCATGCCCAATCTTAGAGACTCTCCCTATCCGGAGAGCAGCCCCGACATGGAAGAGGACCTCTCTCCCTCTCGAAGGAGTGAGAATGAGGACATTTACTATAAAAGCATGCCAAACCTTGGAGCTGGCCATCAGCTTCAGATGTGCTACCAGATCAGCAGGGGCAATAGTGATGGTTATATAATTCCCATTAACAAAGAAGGCTGTATCCCAGAAGGGGATGTTAGAGAAGGACAGATGCAGCTGGTGACAAGTCTTTAATAGTACACCTAACAATTCCAAGGGCCACATGCAAGTATTAGTAAATAAGATTCCCTTGGTTCCATGCAGCTTCCTCCAACTCTGCTTGAAGAGACGGCTCTGTTGACCTGTGGTCCTCCAGTGTATAAAAAAGAAAAGAAAGAAAGAAAAAAGAGGACTGAACCTTGCAGTTCTGTGACTTTTTTTTTATAAAACATACAAAAACTTTGTATATACAAAGAGTATACTAAAATGAATTATTTGTTACAAAGAAAAGAGATGCCAACCAGGTATTTTAAGATTCTGCTGCTGTGTAGAGGAATTGTGAGACAAGCAAAACAGACCTTTCCAGCCATTTTACCGCAGCAGTCTGTGAACTAAATTTGTACATATGGCTGCACCATTTTTGTAGGCCTGCATTGTATTATATACAAGACGTAGGCTTTAAGATCCTGTGGGACAAATTTACTGTACCTTACTGTTCCTGACAAGACTTGGAAAAGCAGGAGAGATATTCTGCATGTTTGCAGTTCCCTGCAAACCTTTTACATTAAGGCAAAGATTGAAAACATGTTTAACCACTAGCAATCAAGCCACAGGCCTTATTTCATACGTTTCCTCAACTGTACAATGAACTATTCTCATGAAAAATGGCTAAAGAAATTATATTTTGTTCTATTGCTAGGGTAAAATAAAATACATTTGTGTCCAACTGAAATATAATTGTCATTAAAATAATTTTAAAAGAGTTCAAAGGAAATCTTGTGAAAAGCTCTTGGTTGCACATGTTACAAAATGTTTTTTTTTTCCCCTTATACTTTGTCATGGTGACTTCTTCCCATTTTTTTTTCTCTTACGTTCCACTGTATACAGTGTTCTACTTTGACCAGTTAGTTTTTTTCCTTACATTTAAATTTCTTATTGCCAAAAGAACGTGTTTTATCGGAAGAAAACTCTTTGAAGCAATTTCTACCATGCCTTGCACAAATGTGGCAAAAATCTAGAGAAGATTGTGTGTTATCTGCCCCCTGTTTGTTCTGGAACAGTGGGTGTCGCAGGCACTGGGCACTGCTCACAAACTTTTTAGTGAACAAAAGGTGCCTATCCTTTTTTAAAAATAAAATAAAACACAAATATTACTCTTCCATATTCCTTCTGCCTATATTTAGCAATTAATTTATTTTATGATAAAGTTCTAATGAAAATGTAAATGGTTTCGGCAAAATTCTGCTCTTCTTTTCATCCCTTTGTGTAAACCTGTTAATAATGAGCCCATCACTAATATCCAGTGTAAAGTTTAACACGGTTTGACAGTAAATAAATGTGAATTTTTTCAAGTAGTTAATGTGCACTTTTATGTATGATACACAATTGGCCTCAACATATTGCTCCTTCTTTCCCTTCCCTTCCCTTGAAGTTCACACCGTAGCCATGGACAGGTATGGGAATACAATTAAGGTGCTTGTTTTCCTTTACTTGTAGGAGTAGGGTAGGTTCCCTATAACCCAGGCAAAAAATCTGGTAGATAAACTTCTATTTGGAAATATTCTGAAAGTAGTTTTGGTTGTTACATTGCACCCAAACTAAGAAAAGGAACCAAACACACACACACACACACACAACTACCACCACCTCCACCATAGCAACAACAAAATTAAAAGAAGGGTTGAAGTTCATTTAATTTGGACATTTAAAAAGAAAGCACACACCAGCCTGACTTTAAATTTCTCAGCTTCATAGGAAAAATTCCCAAAATATACTTTTGCAGTTTGAAGATTTATAATAATTCCCAAAGAGTGTTGTGACTGACAGTGTTTGCTATCATGGGAAGGTTTTAGTGCACTTCCAAAAATCACATAATTGAATCTCAACAAATAGATTTTCCTGTTTATATCCTAAGCTTTTATGCCAGATTCTTAGTGGTTCTCTCTAATGCTTCCACCAAGTCAGAAATCACTGCTTTTTGTAGACACACTTGGCTATCCCTACTGAATTTAAAAAGTAATGATTTTTGAAGTATGCATTCAATGACTAGTGGTATAGTGGAGTAGTCACTAAATAATGAAGTATTTGAAGCTTCTAATAGGTAGAAAGGAAGCCATATACTCACACATAGTCAATGTGTAGTGGGAGAATGATTGTAAGAAGTCAGTATCCAGAGAGATTTGACAGTCTTCTTGACAAAGAACATGCGTCATTTTTTCTGCTACAATTCTTCAGGAGTGTCTGAAAATTCATTTGCTAGAAAAAGGTATTACATATCAAATATTTAAAAGATTTAATTATACATCTTCCTCACACCATCTGAACTTACACCGTGTTGTTTGATAAATGCTTTCTGGTATACAAACTAGGGACAGGCTGTTGCGGTAATTATTTATTAAATGAGTAAAAAGAAAGTTTAGTTTCATTCCTGTCTCCTGAGTATGATGTAATTTCATAGTACCCAAATGATTAATGTACACTGTTGTTTGAACTCAGGACTTCCACACTTACTAGGTAGGCTCTCTACTATTTGCGCCGCACCCCTAGTCATTTTTGTTTTTTTTTATCTCTTTTTTTTCCCAGCTAGGGTCTCATATTTTGCCAGTGCCAGCCTGGATCTCATTGTGTTATATTTCATACATAGCTGGAGTAAAAGGTGCATGTCATGATGGCCAGTTTTCTTGATGACTGGATTGCGATGGGAGCTTGCAAAGTTATTGCCCTGGCTGGCTTAGACCATGATCTTCTCAATTTCCACCTCCCCTATAGCTAGGATTACTTGTATGAGCCAGTGCACCTAGTTGGATTCTTTATTATTAGCACAATTTCCTTGAATCTGCCCATATTTCCCTGGGTGCACAATTCTCTATGTGATATTAACAACTATGAATGTAGTTTCCATTAACTTACAGTTTCTCTGATAGTCTATTAATGATGCTCATGCCCATTTTAGATATACTTTGATTGGAAAAAAAAGCTTTTTTGTGTTCTATTTGTAAAAAGAATATACATCAATCTGTATGTGTTTATTTTATAAGACTATTGTCCTTTATATGGAAGAAAATATAAAAATTTTAATATGGTGTTTCTAATTCATCTACATTCACTTGAGAGTATTTACATGGTATATTTTAGCCAATGAAATAAAAGTAAATATTTGGCAAAAAAAAATAACTATCCTTTCCAAAACAGACGAGCATATTATATACAAATTACTTGACAAACTTCAAAGAAAAAAAAGTTGTGCACTTTTTAAGGATATGCTTAAGTTTCTTTATGTCCTTATTTGAGAAATACAAATGTATTTTTCCATCAGTTGAACCACAGGCTTAAAACTGAACTTTCATATGTTCTCTGGAGATAGAGAGTTTGTAAAACTTTTAACTAAGTAAAAAATGTTTTATTGCTGTTACAGTCCTTTAAGTTGAAAAACTTGAAAAAGTGCATGCTAGTTAAATTTCTGAAATGAAAACAGCTTTTCATATTTTTCTTGGTGCTGAAACTCTAAATTCTCTTTAAAATCTTCCCTGCAGTATTTTACAAATAAAACTTAGTTCCCAGAGTTCACACAATCCTGTGTTCTAGGTATTTCTGTTTTTATAACACTGCTGCATTAACTCATATCAATGGATATGAAAAGTTACTGGCATGTTAAACTAGATGAGAATTGCTTCACAGTATAATAAATTAGTAGGCTTTCTGGCGAACATATCTTCTCACATAGCTTCCTGCTAGTTGATAGTAAATCCTTAAGTAGCATGTATAGATAAACTAGAAGCATTAGTGCTAACAGATAAGTGATAATATGATCAGGAATAATTCGTAACAATTATCATTTCAATGGCTTAGAAGGAGAATTTTTCTGTTGTCTCAGTTTGATGCTTTTTCCAAATGATCATAAGGATATATGCTATGTAAATGTACCAAGAAGAAATATTTAAATTTTATCAAAGGCTATCACATCTTTGACATAATTTTTGTACATATTGCTGGGGCCTTGTAAGATGAATAGCACTAATGGGAACTCCTGGGAATTATGCAAGTTCATCTCAAGGTACTATGGCCATTGAGCTTTCTAGGCCAAGATAACATATCTCTGTCAAAGGGCATTAGCCATAGCTCTAAGTTCACCATGTAATTAAGCTAATTAAATGTACTATAACTATTTTTCAGTTATTGACAATAGACCACTCCACATCTCTTAATCAAGCTTTTCAGAAGCTCTTAGTTCACCTTTAAGTGAGTACAGTTTTTCAAGAGAGACCAGTTTGATTTTTAAAGCTTTCCCCCTTGGTAATTTTTTTCTGAATTAATATATTATGAAATGTTAGGTACACTGACATTTATCATTGTAGATCTCTATTTGAAATAAAGCAGGTAACTCAATAGAATAAAGCTTACCAAACTGTTGATCTGCTTTGGGGAAAAAATACTGCCCCAGGAATCTTATACACGTTTCGAAGTAAATACTTGAACTCAGACATGTTTAAAAAGCATAGTTAATATTAAAAAGCCAATGTTGTGTGAGCATAAGAGACTAGAGATGAATGATCAATGAATAGTTTTTCACAAGCATTTAAAAATCATATATCAAAACTAAGCTTTAGAAAAAATGTTTTGGCAGTCATAACAACATGGCTTTCTTGCTTGGTTTTATTAGGCAAAAATGACTGATAGTTTGACAGCTACAGGAACAATAATGGTATCTATTGGATATTGATGAAATGAAGGCTCTTTTGTGTTCTGCTCAAATACCAATCTTAATATAAGCAGATGGCATTTATTCCAAAACAGTATTACTGTAGCTCTTTAACACTTATGATCCAGAAGCTAAAAACAAAACCAAAAACAACCTCTTCCCCCCCCCAAAAAAAAAATCACTGTCGAATTTTTGAAAGATAGATGAAAAGGTTCCATCCACTTTACTATTTATGTATTCCAACAGGAATAGAATCACCAACATCACCTTTTAATGTATGCTTAGATGTCTGCCAAGCTCTCTACTAAGTGTTATGTGCTTTATTACACTTAATCCTCTCCACAGTCCTCTGAGGAGGGTATTCATTATCCACTTTTGCAAAAGAAGAAAAATAATTTGTTCAAGCTGGTGAATGGCAGAGCCTGCTCCGAAACATTCTTTGATTTAGGAGTTTGAGTTCTTGAACCAACATATGTCACTTCCCATTTTACTTGGAGCTCCAAGAATATCTGTGATATTTTCGGGACATTTTATGTGTTTGTGGTCCTAGAGGATATCTTTTAGCTAACTTGGAATTGATAAAATTGAAATGGAAAATGAAGGACAACAATGTTTCAGAAGTACAAAACCTGGGAGGAGAAAATACATTTCTAAAAGATTAAATACTAGCACAGGTGGGCCCATTAACACGATGATAGCCAAATCTAATACAGCAAATCTATTGGCTACTGATGTGTAACTTAATGCAAGGCTCATCAGGAGGAAGTTTTCACAGAAAAAAAAATGATCAGGAATTTGATTCAAACATTGTTTCTGGTCTTCCACTGAGCTATAAGATAATACTGGGTTAACCAGTCTTCAGAGGGGAAAAAGAGTGAAAATTTATTATTTGATTTATATTTCCCTACATGATGAAGCACCACTGCAACAAAAGTCTTGTGAAAAATGAAAATGTTAGCTGTTTATACTTTTACAAGTTAATATTGTTTGCTAGAGGAGTGAGTGTGGCTCACATCTGTAATCTTAGCTACTCAATAGGCAGAAGTTGGGAAAATGGTAGTTCTGGGCCAGTCAGCCAGGCATAAATTTCTGGAAACCCCTTTCGAACAAAATAGCTGGGCATAGTGACATGTCACTGTAATCCCAGATGCCATGAGAAGTATAAATAGGAGCATTGCAGTTCAAGCTGGCCTAGACAAACAGTGAGATCCTATTGCAAAAATAACCACAAGTAGGTCTAGAAGGCTTGTTCAAGTGGTTAAGAGTATGAGGCTCTGAGTTCAAACCCTATTACTACAAAAAAATTCTAAAAAGAAATGCATTTATGTATGTCAGCATTTGGGTGTGCTTTATGTATTTATTTTTATTTGGTGGTATTTAGCTTTGAACTCAGCGCCTTATGCTTAGTAAACAAGTGCTTTACTATTTGAGCCAAACTTCAACCTTTGGCCTTTTACATTTCATAATTTTCTCTCTTAACAGTTGACCATCTAGATACTTGTTTTTTTATTTCTGAACTGAAAAGTTTTCAGTAAAATAGTGCTTTGTTTTCATTTACAATATGCTTTTCTTGGTCATGGATTTTATGCTGGAAATCAAACCCAGAGCATGACACATGCTAGGAAGTAGCAAACTTTCTATCACTGAACAAAACCC